GCTTGGTCTTCATGGCCGGGGCCGGGGCGGGGGTGGAGGGTGGAGGGTGGAGGATAGAAATAGGGGCGGGCGGGCCGCGCCAGTCTCGGAGCCGCGCGGAGCCAACCTGTGCCACGCCCTGGGCGCCGAGCGAGGCGGCCGACCCCCGCGCACCCATGCTGCTGACGCTGGCCTGGGGCTCACTCTTCTTCCCGGGGCTCTTCGCGCTCTGCAGCTGGGGGCTGCGCCGCGCGCGGCCCGAATGGACCGACACCGACTGCGTGATGATCAGCACCAGGTACGGGGCGAGGCCGGGCGCCGGCCGCCCCACCCGGCCGCTCGCAGGCTATACGGCCACCCGACCCGGTTGCGCCCGCCCCTGCGCCGAGCTGAGGGCGGAAAAGGGGGGCGACAGGAAGCGAGGGGGCTGCCTCCCTGGTCCTTGCCCGTCTGTGGCGCTGGCCAGAGCTCCCCGAAGACCCTCTGCGCCCTGCCCTGGAGGGAGAGAGAAGGGTGGAGGGCTGCCCACGCTGGTCAAGATGGGGAGGGAAGCCTGCTACCGACATCTGCCAGCTGCTTTGGGGATCGGGAGCGCGGCGGCGGCCCTAACATTTTCCTCACCGCGCTGGCAGCCTAGGGGCAGGTCAGGTTGGAGATTTTGGCTTTATACTATCCGCGGAACTGGATTGACCAAGCTTCCCCCCCCCGTCCCCCTTTTTCTTTTCTGCCGCACGTTAGGCTGGTTTCTTCAGTGCAGGCTGTGTTGGCCACCGGGTCGGGGATCATCATCATCCGCTCCTGTAGCGACGTGATAACCGACAGGTAACATCCAATGCCAGGTGAAAGGAGCACAAATAACAGCGCTGAACTTGTTCAAAGTTTCCACATTGTAGTGGCTCACAGGCACTAGTTCTTTATCGACACATGCTGTTAGGTGGCTGATTAATGGGAAAACTTGGGCATCCTAATTACTTCCCTCCTCCTCTCCTTACCTCTTCCAGCATCGCCAGCTTAGGAGAAAGTAAACTGAAGAAATGCTAGAAAATGGCAGAGTTTAAGGCTGATTTAAGGTGTTAGAGGACAGCGTGGTCCACTGATCCAGGTTCTTTATGAGATAGATACGTGTGAAAATTATTCAGAAGTAGGAGTATGGCTTCTGGTTCTTTTAAATGATCTCACTGGGGTCCTGCTCTGGAGCATTCATTGGCCAAGATATGTCCAGTGTGGTTAGCAGAGCCCTTCTATGGAAAGGAACAAATCCACCACCCCTTTCCTTACAAATGCTGCTCTTGTCTTCCCTCTGGATTTGCTAAAAGCAATGAAGAGGTTTCTGGTGCTTTCAGAAAACTGACTTGTATGTGTGTTAGAGCTCAGTGGAGAGGTAGGTCAGGAAATGTGCCTCTAGTAAAACAAATCATAAAGACCAGAGTGGTCTACTTTGTATAGTATTTAGACCTCGCAATGGTGGTGCTTTTTTTCAAGCCATTCTTATCACTTGTCTCCCTAGAACCATCCTTACTTTCTCTCAGTGAAGTTGAAGAGCGATCATCAAATGTGCAGGGAAGGTCTAGCAGCCTTTCCTGATCCTTTTCTCCTGTTGACTTTGCAAAGTGTCCTGCTTTTCACCTGCGTTTCTCCCTGACTGGAATGGGCAAGGAGCCTGAGCAGGGCATCTATCTCGCTGTGACCTGCAAGTTTAGTGTCGGGATCTTACCTAGGCTTAATCCAGCTGTCATGATGTTTGTGCTTTTCGTCTTATGCCTCTTTTTAGACAAAACCAGTTATTGGTGATGAATTATAGATGCTGAGAGAAGATAGGTCAAGTGACCTTGATTGCATACACCAAAGGCTAACAGCATTTGCTTGGCTGGGCTCAATTTTTATTTTAATTGAGTATTTTCTGATCATGCAGCAAGCTCCTTCACTGCCCCCAGTTTGTCAGATCAAACTTGAAACCAGACTCCTAGGGCCAGCCCCGTGGCTTAGCGGTTAAGTGCGCGCACTCCGCTACTGGTGGCCCGGGTTTGGATCCCGGGCACGCACCGACGCACTGCTTCTCCGGCCATGCTGTGGCCGCGTCCCACATACAGCAACTAGAAGGATGTTCAGCTATGACATACAACTATCTACTGGGGCTTTGGGGGAAAAAATAAATAAATAAAATTAAAAAAACAAAAAGAAACCAGACTCCTCTGCAAAGATGAAACTAAGACAAATGCAACCCCACAGCACTAGCTCTAGCTGACATGAGGGCAAGCAGCAGACAACCACTACGCAGTTCAGAAAAAGATGTTTGCACACCAGTAACTTTCAGTTCTATAGCACCATTGTTGTGTTTTCCCCTCAGAAGCCATGTGTTTTAGTGGCTTGAGCATAGCAGAAAACCTGAGTTTGGTTTTCAGGTTCCTCCTTTTGTGTATCTTTATGCCTTAAATTCTCTGCTTGCAAACTGGAGACAGACACCACGTTTCTGTGCCCTCCACCTTTATGTGGATGTACGAGGGTGCTCTAGAGGCACCTAGGTGATCTAAAAAAAAAGTCTTTGGGGGCTCATATACTGTATACCCAAATATTTTTCTATTATATGCCTTTTCATTTTATGCCTTCATATATATTGTCTGTAGATAGGAGAGAGTATCTACAAATCCCCCCGAATTATATGCAGAATGTGTTGTGGGGCCAAGGATTTCATCAGATTCTTAAAGAGGTCCAGATCCCTAAAAAAGGTTCAGTCCGTAAGAGTCACAGCGCTAGGCAGTTTTCTCAATTTAAGCACTTATATTTGGATGGTACTTTTTACATTTAAAAGGACTTTCACACTTTTAGATTTTTAATCTTCACAATAACTTTGTCAGAGAAGTAAGACAAAGATTATCATCTTCATTTTATAAAGAAAGCTAAGTTCCAGGCTAGTAGTAGTTAAGATTATAATCCAGATCTCTTGCTAATAAATCTTCAGAGAATGCTACCTAACAATCACAATTTCAGATCTTACTGAATTGGTAGTGGGTGCAAAATATTAGAACCCTAGGCTCCACTCAAGGGGAGAGGCCAGTCTTATTTCAGCCGAGCTTTTAGTAGCTGTTTATAGTTATTTTACTTGGAATTGCTTCAAGAAAGCAATGGAGACATAGATGGGTAGTAGAATAAGTATTGCATCTTTTTTGCTGAAATGGAACTTGGCTAATTAATTCACCTGCCTGTATATTTGCCATTACTTGTTTGCCTATTTCATTGTTTATTCATTATTTAGTTATGCTGTGGTAAGTGTGGACTCATTCAGGGACAGAAACTTGAATGGCACCCTTTATAGAAAATATTCCCAATGTTGCAGTTTAGTGGATTGGCTCCTTAGGAAGTCATCTGAGACAAAATTAAAAATACGGATTTGAGGGTCCTAGGCATACCATTTATAGTCTCTGGGGAGTGGAGCCCTTGACAAACACTGCAGGTGATTCTGATGTTCAGGTAGTTTGAGAACCATAAAACTAAAGTGTTTCTTCTTCCTAACACATGGGTACTCAATAAAAATTTGCTGACAGTGAATCTAATCCTTCCCAGCATAGTAGATGATTTCATTTCAGATTTTTTTTCACATAAATTTTCTTTAGAATTATGATTTATCATTCGGGAACAAAATTGTATAAATTATAGAGTTTCCTTCTAATCTGTTCTCTGACAGTGATAAACTGTCATTTCGACTCAGCAAATATTGATTCCATCCCTTTGGACAAGTAAATGGGAGCACTGTCTTTTGTCCCAGCTTCTCTTCTGGTATCTGACTGCTGTAAGGTAGTCCTTGAGCTCTGCGCTCATTTCCAGACATATTTTTCGTAATGAGTAGAATTGGGATAAGCCACAGAATGGTAAAGAAAATGGCCAGGTTTGCTCCCCAGAAACTCCTGAGAGTGGGGTTGCAAGCAGATGCAAGAGGACGCTCCCAACTATTGAGCAACTGAGTGGAGTTAAACTGGAAATATGGGGTTTGGGACACCTTCCAAACCAGTTTTTTGGTGGAGCTGTTGAATCATTGGTAGAGGTATCAATATCAAAGTCAGGTTATATCACAAAATGCTGGAAAATCCATTACAAATGAGTAGCTAAATCAGGCAAATAGGACAACTAGTCACCTACACATGTGGTGCTGAGTGAATTCCTGCTTTCTGCCTTTGACACTTACAAATTTTCCCTGTAATTCAGAGAAAGTTGCTCATTCTCCTTACTTATTAGTTTCAGCATCTTCATGGTAAAGTATTTGGAGTAAAAACAGCTGATTAAGTACAGAGCTGAAGGGACTGTGTTTGAGAAGAGGTTGGCTTTGAGCGTTCATAATTGATATCCATAATTATTTCATGGACCATTCATATGCTTTCTTTCAGGCACTGGCTTGCCCGAGAATATGCCTGGTTTTTGGTTCCATACATGATCTATGACACCTACGCCATGTACCTCTGTGAATGGTACCGAACCAGAGACCAGAACCGCAGACACTCTCTCACCACTTTTCAAAACTTCCTAAGTAAAAACCGCCTCATGATCACGCACCATGCAGTCATTCTGTTTGTCCTTGTCCCCGTTGCACAGGTATGGCCTCCCAGGACAGCCACCAGCAGCCTTGGTCACTCGTTTCTCCTGTTGAACTGGGTATCTTGACCATTACTTGGGAGTCAGGATTGCCCTTCTTTTCCTTCCCTTTCCTACAGCTCCCACTATCGTGCCAGCTGCTTCCGCAGTTAAATCCCCAGGCCAATCATGTAGAAAAGAATCAAATCTGAAATGTTCGTGATCCTCCTTCCAGCAATCCCCCAGCCCTCTGTGATTCCCTAGCATTTGTCAAAGGTTCTGTCTTTAGTTCACACAATATAAAACAAGATAAAAATTGTTTTTAAAAAATGAGAGGAGCTCAGTCAACTAGTTACTTGCTCCAGCAGTGCCAGAGAGTACTGTATGCATTATTTTGATGTCACAAAAGCACAGACTCTCAAAGCAAATAGCCTCATAATTTCTCCCCAGATCCATTTTTCCCATTAAAAACCCACCCAGCAAGGAAGAGAAATGGGAGTGCAGAGAGGAAACTGGTAAGTCCTGTGTGCCTACCAGGTGCAGGCACTTGATTTAAGAGCTCACAGCTTTCTACTGATAATTAGAAATTATCAGGAATAGTGAACAATTGTTAGCCCTGTACCATAGATGAAGAAACTGGGGCTCTTAAGAGTTTCTGTCCCTCAGTGGTACTAAGTGACAGAGCTGCTAGCCTACTGTGCTGTACTGCCTTCTTGAAAAGAAAAAAGGAGAGGCAGAGTGTGTTATACTCTGTACGAAGTCTCTCTTGATTGCTTTGGGAGCCTAACATCTAGCACAGGGCCTGGCACATATTTTGTTGAACTGACTTGGCTAAGTGCCTTTGGCATGACTAAGTTAGATACCCAAAAGTAGGCTGTAGGGTTCCTTCCGGCTAATGTTGAAATTCAGAGAAAGCTTGGTGTGTGATGCAATCAGCCGATCTGAAGTTGCCTCTGGATGCTCTGGATTCAGCCATCAAGGTGCTGTTGCTCTGGAAGCAGCAGAGTATTAATGGGGTCTACACTTGCCCATTTAGCATTTCCTTTCCCTTCGTGGTCTCTTAGGGTTACCCTTTTCAATAGCCCTAGTTAGAGTTTTCCTTCCAGTGGTTCCTCAACTTCCATTTCTTATTTCCCCTTTTCCTCTTCTCATCTGCAGAAGCTTAGGGGAGACCTTGGGGACTTCTTTGTTGGCTGCATCTTCACGGCAGAACTGAGCACTCCGTTTGTGTCGCTGGGCCGAGTTCTGATTCAGGCATGTATGAAAGAAATGGCAGAAATAGTGCGGAGGGAATGGACTCTGCTTTTCTTGGTAGATTGTGGGGTCTGGAGAATCCCTTAGTGCTTGGAATAGTGGGATGGGAGATCCTTGAACAGACTTAAAGGTCAGTTGGTCATCTGAGCCAGTGGGAATGAAATTGTACATTTGATTCAAACTTGATATAGCTTTTTAAGTATTTTTCTGGCCACAGAGATTTTTTTTTTTGTGAGGAAGATCGGCCCTTAGCTAATATCTGCCAATCCTCCTCTTTTGGCTGAGGAAGACTGACCGTGGGCTAACATCCATGCCCATCTTCCTCCACTTTATATGGGACGCCACCACAGCATGGCCTGACAAGCAGGCCGTCGGTGCGTGCCACAGATCCAAACCGGCGAACCCCGGGCCGCCACAGCAGAGCACGTGCACTTAACAGCTTGCGCCACCGGGCCAGCCCCCAGATTTGTTTTTTTTAAACCAGTGTTCCTGTGCTCCTGTCAGCGGGGTGGCTTAGGCCCAATTCAACATCACTATTGGAAAAACTACGGGGCTATAGGCATATATAAATACAGCAGTGCTCAATCATCTTTTCTACAAGTGTCAGAAAACTAGATGTTGGCTTTTACTGTTGTGGGCCTTGGGCTAGTCATTCCCTGAAGGCCCAACCTCTTGGTGACCCTGCATTCCCCTTCCCTCCTCTTTTACAGCTAAAGCAGCAGCACACCCTTCTTTACAAGGTAAACGGGATCCTCACACTGACGACCTTCCTCTCCTGTCGGATCCTTCTCTTCCCCTTCATGTACTGGTCCTATGGCCGACAGCAGGGACTCAGCCTGCTCCAAACGCCCTTCCATATCCCTTTCTACTGCAACGTGGCCAATGCCTTCCTCATCGCTCCCCAGATCTACTGGTTCTCTCTGCTGTGCAAGAAGGCAGCCCGGCTCTTTGACACTCCCCTAGCCAAAAAGGATGGTTAATTGCTCCCAGGAGTCAGGCAGGAGGGTGCTTCCTCATGCTAGCTGCCTCCTCCACTCAGTATTCCGTGGACCAAATTGTGCCCTGGGTGGCCTCAGCCTTTTGGGTATTGATAAGCAGATGGGTTTGAGTTTTTCTAAAGATTATTCATATTACCTCCCTCTTCTAACCTGCCCCTTTTGCAAAAGCACTTTTTTTTTTGGTAACAACGATCAGGTCCTGTCAGACCTCCATTGGCAGCAAGGTGGTTTTAATGCAAGCCCAAGGATCCTTCCTTGGGTCTTATCTCAAGGGCTCTGGGAGGTAGAAGCATGGGGTGTGGAGATAGGTGGACCAGGGCGAGAAGTACTTGGGCACCCGCCTGGCCCTAATATCGGCGGCTACCCATCTTTCCAACCACTCAGGGCAGTATCCACATATACTGGGCCAGCAGAAGCAAATGATGACTTGGTTCTTGCAATAATTTCTTGTGATGTTGGCCTGGGAAAATTGTTGTGGGTAGGTAGTTTCTTATTGTTTACTAGATAACCCATTGGTCCTTTGCCTCATCCTTTCATCCGTGTGCCAACATTGAATTCTCATGTCTAATGACTTCCGATCAGAAGTCTCACTGGCAGGGGTGGGTAGGAGGCAGGGATGGGAACCTGAAGCACTTGAGTAGGTAGGAAGGCCAACAGGTCAGCACCTTTGCAGGCTGACTTGGTGAAGACCCGTGTCAAACTTGTGAGCTTGTTGTAAACACAAATACCACCCCCTTTTTAACATGTCCCCTCAAGCCCAGGTTTCCCCATATCCACACGCACAGGATGCTCTTATTAAAAACTATAGGGGTTAAGTGAAATGATGGCTACTGAGCTATTTACTGGGTAACCCCACTCTTTGACACTGTCCTGAAGTAGAAATGGACTTCTGTATTCCAAACCACGAGATGGCTTGTCTAGACTGCCTCCTGATAAGCCAGAGCTTATGGTACAAAGCCTCTTCCTATGTGAGTGTACCGCCCTCTAGCCAGAGGCTGGAGAGCAATAGTCCAAGACAGCCCTGGCCAAAATGCATCCTGTGGACTGACTCCTTCACCCGCCATTTGCAAATAGGATCCTCTGGTGCCAACACTAATCATTCCTTATCAACTAGGATGGGTTTTAGAAACTGTGCTACCATGAAGCTTTTTTTCAAGTGGCAGTGAAAGACTAGATTTTTTTAAAGTGTCTTTTAATTCATTGTCGTCCATGAACTTTTAAAGTACCGAATATGTAACAGTGTCTCAAATTTTGACTATTTCAGTCTTTAATGGGTGCCATTTAAAAAACCTAAAGTGCTGTAATGTTTTTTACTGTTTTGTTTACTATCAGTATATCTTTATAAATCATCCCTGTGGTGATTAAACTGCACTAATATTTCCCAACTTATCCTCCTTTGTGAAATACATCAACAGCAACTTCCTGTGAGACCCATCCTGTGACTTGACTGGCTGCTGTGCTATTGTTTCTGGTCTGTGTTCATGTCCACGCAAGTGGCAGAAGTAGGATGTGGGGGGAGGAGGATGTGTTAATGCTTTCAGCCTCCAGTAGGGCCTAGCTCATACCTTAGCCTAACATGTTTCTGCAATTCATGGGTCCAAGAATACACTGCAGGGTCCTAGAGTTCAAGCCCAGTCGTCGAATAACTTTAGGCCCTTTCTTCTCTTCCTAGGTGAATCCCAATTAGGAGTTGGGAGGGTGGAAACCCAATGGTAGGCCACAGAGCCAGCCCACTTGAGGTGGGGGCGGGAACCTGAATAATACCCCATTTTGAATGAGGGTATGGATATGAAGGTGACGGGGCATATCCTTTTCCCTTGCTTGCCTCCCAAATTAAACACCTCACCAACCGGTTCTCATAGTTCTGTAATATACCCTGGACGCCTTTAATTTGCATTTTTATGCTTCTGCACACACCATTCCCTGCTCTCATTCTTCAAAACTATAACAACCCACCCCCGCCAGAAGATAATTACACCTATCCTTTAAACACATCTCTGCTGTGTTTACCAGACCTAGTTTTAGCAGAGCCCCTTCTGGATCCACCTAATGGATAGAGTTAAGACTGTATGGCAGAAGTCCTCAATTCAGAAGATACCATTTTCTTGAGGTCATTAATCTACCCACTGACATTTAATTTTCTTGGTCCAATCCTCTCTTTTTACAGTGGTATGGGCCTTTAGGGCACACAAATCACATGGCCAATTGGTGGCAGAATAAAGTTCTTTTCTTAGTTGCTGCGCTTTCCAAGATACCACGGAATGGCTCTTGAAGAAGATTTCAGTGCAGAAGAACACACATACATACCTTGTAATTTTTTTCATTTGGGTGGTTTCGCCTTTGGACTTTGCCAAATTCTAGAGTGGAGAAGTCCAGTTATGAACATGTTCCTCCCAGCCTGACTCGATCTTTAAGACTCTGGCTGAGTCCAATTTCAGAGTGTATCTAAACCTAGACTTGACAAGAAAGACTCAAAAGAGACAAGATGAAACTCAAGAGACTTTTATTATAATTTGTATGTTACAAATACCTAAGAAACTATTTTCTTTACACTGTCATTGCCATATACTTTTCAGCTTGTGTACAATCTCACTTAACCAAAAAGTTTCTCAGCTCTAGCCCCGGCAGACCCCACCAAGTTGAGGCCCAGCTGTCTTCTGATCTACAAAGGTCAGAAGTTGCTGATCTTCTGCAGCAGCGTTTGGCGCCGCTCCTCGGGGCTAACGTTCTCAGCGATGGACTTTAAGAAGCGCTGCTCATTCACCTTCTGCAGCAAGGAGCTAACAGAAGGGTTGGTCTTGCTCAGGGTTTCATAGCAGGTGAGGATTTCCAAGGCCAAAACGTAGAGTGGTTCACACACCTCTTGGTGGAGCATGGCCATGATGTGCAGAACATGACAGAATACCTGGGTATAAAAAAATAGGGTTTCCTGGGTCAGGTCCTGTTCTTGTCCTTGAGCCCGTGGGCCAACTGACTGTATTAACCTAACTGAGTCCAGGAGGTTGGTCAGACTGCTACAGAGGAGTTTGACCACATGGCTCCAGCCTTCCATAGGAAGCCAATTATGACAACTCCGGCTGCAGAGAAACTGGAAAGCTCTCAGGAAGAGTATGGAGAGTTGGAGCTCCTGCGCAAAGGGCTTCAGATTGAGCAGAGGAACAAACTGAATATATTCCAGGCTATAAGGGACATGCAGGAGCTGTTTCTCCAATAGTCTCCTGGTCACCTGGTAAAGGTACTGCCACTCCTGGGGGCTACACCAAGGCATGACTTGCACCAGGGCCACCAGAAAGCCCTTGCTGAACAATCTGACCTCCTCAGGGTTGCCCACATCCACCACCAAGAGGGAGAGCATCTGCTCAGAGATGCTGCTGGAGATGTAGCAGCACTCCATCCAGGCAAGAAGCCCTGTGCCTGGCCCATACCCAGGGTGGGCCTGGGAGGTCCACTCATCCTCAGAAAGCTTACAGATCTCAAAAAGTGTGGCTGGCACCTCACACTTGAAGTGGCCTTCAAAGAAGTTCTTCAGTCTCAGGCCCACAGTCCAGTCTAGTTGCTCCAACTTCCGGTGGAGCCAGGACAGGGACTTGATCCAGGTGTCTGGGGAAAAGGTCTCAGCATTAGCTAATACAATCTCACAGAGGAGCTCCAGAATATGGATCACCAGATCCTTCCCATCCAAAGAGAGGCACCGCTTCTCCTTGGGGAGCTGCCAGTATTTGCTGAAGCAATCCAGGAGCTGGCACAAGCTGAAGATGAGGGGGAATGGAGAACAAGTCTGGAGCCAGTATTCCTCTAAGCACGCATTCGCTTCAAGAGTCTGGATGAAGATCTTCAGACTGAGGTCCACCTCTCTGACATCTAGCATCAAGAAAGGCAGGACGAATTCCTTTAGCACCTCATCTGGCTCAAGAAGAGCAGCGACTGGAATCCCTTGGGGCTTCACAGGACTCCCCAGGCAGCTCAGGAGCTCCAAAAATTGCTTTTCTTCCTTGGGTGTAGAGAACTTTGTCCAGACGGTTTCTTTGAGGCATGATGCCACGAAAGTGATGGATGGATTTGGACCTTGCTCTTCTGTGAACCTAAGGGCAGGGAAGGCGGTGAGAATCTGAGCCAGGAACTTATGGGTGCCGAGATTGACCACAGCCATGCTGCACATTTTCTTCACTGTCATCTCCGGGTGCAGTATTACCAGGCGGGCCACAGAAGCTACAGCTTTAGCCAAGCCCTGTTCAGAGGCACTCTGTGCGAGCTGGTTAAAAGTCGTATTGAGGTCTTCCTGAAACCCCTCCAAGTAAGCCAACAACTTCTCAGAGAGGCCCTTTCGCCCCCAGGAGAGCAGGACACCTGAGAGGACTTTATTTTTATCTGGCAGTGATAAGTCTGCATAACATTCCAGGATCAAGTCGATCACTTGTTTGAGCTGAGATTCGGGGATGGCTCTGTCTGTCGTGCTGACTTCTATCACTGTTTCCAGCAGCTTTAACACCAAGTCTGGCTCTCGGAAGAGAGCCCGGTTATTAACCAGGCAAGCCAGCCACTCATCCGAGAAGGCCCACTTCTTCTCAGAAGCAAAAATGTAGCACATTTCCATATGCCGGTCCATCTTCTGCTCAATAACGGCCATAGCAATCGAGGCAGTGATGTCCTTCTCGAAGCCCTTGTTCTTCAGCACCCTGTTTGTTTTCCTCAGGAAGTCCTCAACACTCTCTGCCAGCTCAGAGACCACCTGCCTCTCCTCCTTGGACAAGCCAGTGGTATTCAGGTAGAGCTTCAAGTTCTGGCTGAAGGAAGTCAGACTGTCACACAGCCGATAGCTGTCATAACTCGTCCCGTGGCTGCTGTTGAGCATGACCTGCAGCTCCTCCCCCCACTCCTGTAGCAGGCTGCGCATGAACTCAAACCCCACAAAAATCGTCTCACTCGGGAGTTTGGCCAGCGAGCTCAGGCTGACGTCCCGTTCTGCCTCCTTTACCTTCTCTGCCAGTGCCTGTTGGTGATATGGGTTCTGCGTGTCTGAATTCCACACGGAGATCACCGTGGCCAGTTTGTCTAGATACACACTTGCAGATACTTCCTGGGGGTCATCCTCCATCAGTGCAAACACAGTCAGCATGTCAGCCAAGTTGGCTAATGCACAGCACTTCATCCCAGGGCACAGGATTCTATTTTGGATTTGCTTCAGCCCAGTGAGCAGCATGGCCAACAGGGGCATGGTAGGACACACATCTGGGTCTGACTTGAACCTCTTTGGAGGATGGGAGAACTCATCTGAAGAGGATAAGTACTTATGGGCCATTGTCCGAAACTGGGAGAGCAGGGGGTCCTGCTGATTGCCCTTGTGCTTCATCATTTCCCACCAGACATCGAGGAAAAAGGCCACATCCTTTGAAGAAGTGTCAATCGTCATGTGCTCCAAAAAGTGCTCTAGTTCTGCACGGCAGATGGTGGTGGGCAGGGCCATCAGGAGCTGGATAAAGAGTCCAGAAGCTTCCAGGGACTTGAGCAGCTCAAAAAGGACCGTGTGATTGATGGTAGGGATCATGTTGCCTACTGAGAAAAACACATCTTCCTGCCACCAAGTTTCAGTGTCAGAGGGGCTGACGGGGTAGGGCTGAAGAATCTTGGCCCAGATGATGATCAGAGCTTTCTTCTTCCAGGCGAAGGGTTGGGAGCATGCTGCGGTGGAGGAGATCTCCCTCAAGGCCTCCACAATGGGCTGCCCAACACGCTCCCAGTCAGACTTTGTCAATTCTGCCAGTGCTTTGGGGCGGAACAGCTGCTGGGCCAGCAAGAAGCCCCCATGCAGAATAGTCATTTCTTCACAGATATTCAAGGGTCCTGCACAGAGAGAAGCCAAATAAGATAGAGTGTGGTGAAAAAAATTTCAGAATAGTAAGCCGAGATTAGAGGGAGAGACAGCAGTTACTAGGCTGTCATTATCAGGGTTAGAGATGATAAGGGTTCTAAATGAAATCAGTGGGAGAGGGGGAAGAAGGGATGGTTCTAAGAGGCACTGCAGAGCTGGAGTCAAAAGAACTTAACCTGAGGAATAAAAAGGACTCCCCAGTTCTCTAGCCTGGAACTGGGAAGACAACAGGTACCACTGGAAATAGGGAATGCAGGAGAATCAGAACAGGTTTGGAGGGAACACTGTTCAGATTTGGTTATTTGGAGTCTGAGGTAGAACATTAAGGTAGAGACGTCCTCCAGCAATGGAAATGTGGGGTTGACACTCATGAGGAAAGTCAGCCCTGAAATGTGACTCAGAGAGGTGTCTGCCCAGAGGGGATCACTGGAACCAAGGAAGTGAGAGAGATCCTGCAGGAAAAGCAAGTGAAAAGGAAGAGCTCCACCTCTGAGGCTAGGCCCTCCAGCAAAGGATGGATCAGCAGAGGCTCTGGGGAGGAAGGGCTGAGTGAGCGAGAGAGAGAGGAGAATAGCACAAAGACAATACCCAACCACAGGGGCCACCAAGTACATACTGCAGGACGTGACAATTGAGCTTCTAAGTAAGGATACAGACTAGGAGAGGAACGGAAGCAATCAGACAAGCACTTTTCTCTTATAGCCTTGTCTTGCAAACAGATTTCAAACGTTCTGCCTTTCATGGAAACAGTTCACCCCACGGCTCTTTCCATCAAAGAGAACAAGCTACTCATGGCCCTGGTTCTCTGGTAGAAACCAAGAGGTAGATACAAAAAAAAAATACTGCACTAGATTAAGAAAAAAAAGTCCTTCCTTCAGTGAGCCATGAATCGACACAGACTTATCAAGGAAGGCATCTTGGGATGTTTAATGAGACATGGGTTTAAATCCTAGCTCAGCCATTTAAAAGCAGTGTGACCTTGGACAGATGACTTCTCTGAGCTTCCCTTCTGCATGTGGGGATAATACAGACTTCATATTATGACTGTGAAGATCAAATGCTCTATACTAGTCAAACCCTTGGCACTGGGTTGGTGCTCACTGTTAGCTCCCAATCCCATCTGCCAGGTCTGCCAAGGGTTAAATAAGCTATAACTACGATAAGAGTCAGGCTACAAAGAGCCCAATTAGGTGCTCAATGAACATTGCTTTCCCCAAACCTTTCTATTGTTGGCAGGACCAGAATCTTGTCATTATCTTTTGCCTCCCCCAGCTCAGAAACAAAAAAGGACACAGGTATTTCTCAGGTTTGTTTCCGTTGGCCCAGAAACCAAATCAGAGCACAAACACTGCTCACTATTCAGTATTCTTTATTTTTATTTTTTTGTGAGGAAGATCGGCCCTGAGCTAACATCTGCCAATCCTCCTCTTTTTGCTGAGGAAGACTGGCTCTGGGCTAACACCCATGCCCATCTTCCTCCACTTTATATGGGACGCCACCACAGCACGGCTTGCCAAGCGGTGCATTGGTGTGCGCCCGGGATCCAAACCAGCGAACTCCGGGCCGTGGCAGGGGGGCGCGCGCACTTAACCCCTTGTGCCACCAGGCCAGCCCACTATTCAGTATTCTTAACTCCTCATCCCCACCCCCACTCCCATTCCCAGGACCCAGAGATGCCACCCCTTCCTCACTCCCTCATGCCTCCAAGAATACATCTTCCCCATTTTCACACCCCAGGAGGTAAGAAAAAATCCAGATTCCAGGAGACTACAGAATATCCCGCCCCTTTGACCATTTACAGGAGCAGCAAAAGGCCAAGGGATCAGCCCTCCTATGCAACCACTAGTGAAGGCAATCCACCTTGGCTCCCAGTGGCGAAGCAGATTCCCAGGGAGGGGTAGGTTGCTGAGGGGCTCTGGCCCTTCTTTCTGACTCATGCTGCTCTCCCAGGGCCCTCATATATGTTCCCTTATGACTCTGTAAATTTAACTTTATTGCATTATCAGCTCAACTGAGATGTTTCCCCCAACACCTAGCTTCCAGAGACATAATCCATAAGTACATACACGTGCTACTTGAAGGAATAAGTCCCAGAAGCAGTTTATCCCTGGGCAGATCCCAAGTGTTTTATCACTGCTGGTTAACCGGTGCTTGTGAGTGCCCACTCATCATGTTTATTAAGTGGTTACTCCGTGTCAGGCACTGTGCTAGGTGGTATGCATGTAAGATCTCTCCTAATCCTCAAATCAACCTTTTGAGGACTATTCCTGTTTTAGAGATGGAAACGCTGAGACTCAGAAACAATTTGCTCAGGATGTCGCAACTAAAAACGGTAGGTCTGGGACAGAAATCACCACAGCTGCAGGGCTCTTGCAGCTCTACCGTCCCACCACTGAAGAGCTGTCTGGGGACAGGGACCGGAACACTTCTCCACAGCCTACTATTACTGGCGCATCTTGGGGTACCTCCCCCAGCTCTCCCAGAACAGCCGCCTGTCTTATCCCCTTAAGAGCTTGTCCAGCAGGGTGGGAAGCTGGGCAAAGAGCCACCGATTTATACCAGCGCCCCGCTCCCTTCTCCCAGACCTTGCCTGAGGATTCTGAGTCAAGATGCACGTGCCCGACGGCTGCTGCAACCCCTCCCCACAACTGCTGGTCTGATGATCGCTAGCTCCGCGCAAGGCGCCGTCCCAGACACTGTATACACGTGATCTCCACGAAAACCCCTCAACTCCGTGAGGCGGTTACATTATCATCATCCACGTTTTATCAGTGAGGGCCTCATGAGCCTAAGACACTTGCTGAAGCACACAGTAGACGTTCAATAAATGAGACCACCAGGGCATCCGGGATTCCCCGGGGCGCCCTCGAGTCCGGTCCACTTTCAGGAAATCTAACTACACATCCGCTTGGCCTTTCGCGTGGAAAGGGGCCCGGAGGGCGAGGGGCCGGCCAAGCAGCGGCGGGGCCCGGGCTAGAGCCCGGCCTCCCGACCCCCGCTCTTCGAGGACACCCTACCCTCCAACATCCCCCCGACCAGGAGGTCCCCCTTGGCCCGGGCCGGCTCAGCACCGCCCCAGTCGCCCGTCGCGGGACGCGGCCCAGGCGGGCCCGGGACCGGGCAGCCGGGACACCCACCTAGGTCCATGGCGGCGACGCTAGCGGCGGCGCGGGGCGCCCCTCCCCCGCAAGGCCGCGAGCGCGGCGCAGGCGCCACGGCACAATGGGCAGCGCGGGGGGCGGGACAATAGGCCGCGCCTCAGGCACCGCCCCCAGTCTCAGCTCGGGCTCCGCGCGGTCCGCACAGTCCTGCCGCCGCTCGGCGCGCACGCGCGGTCCTACCAACGAGCCCGCGGCGTCGAGGCCGCCGGGCCCGCAGCGCCCCCTATCGGCCCGAAGCCTCCAACCAGCCGACAGGCAGGTGCCTGCGCCTCTCTGCCACCGCGGCGGGCCCGCCCTTCCCTCTACCCGGTCCCTGCCCGCCCCCAAAACGTCTGGCCCCGACCCAGGCCACCAGGCCCGGCTGCCTTGCTTTCAGTGCTCCGCTCAGCCACGCATCTGTCCAGTCCCTTGCCTAGCCCTGCTTCTTGAGTCCCGGTCGATCCTACCCTTTAGCTCCGTCCCTGGCCCCGCATCCTCCCCTACTCGGTAATCCCCGGGATCCCCCCGCACACAGTTCACCCAGACGGAATGCCCCTCCCCAGGCTGCCTCCCAACCAGCATAGACGCGCCATGCTCTGAGAGGCTTCGCCCCCCGCAGCGGGTCTGCCCATCTCCGGCTCGGAGCCGCCTAGCCCCACAGCCCACAATCGCCCCAGTGCTCGGCCTTCAGACAGCAGCAGCAGCTCCTTCTTTTCTGGCATCATAGACTCCTTTGAAATGTTAATGGTTGTCCTCCCCAGAAAATTCGAGCAAGAACAACTGTGGGGGGCAGATCCAGTCTAATGGGCTCCAGTTTGCAATCTGTACTTTATAAAAATACACATTTGATTTCTGAGAAAACACACACACACATACCCTATGGGCTTCTCACACGTTACCCTGTTTCCTTTTCTCCCTTTCCCTTCTTCCCAGACTTAACTACCAGCCTCAAGCGTTTTTAACTCTCTCCCCTCCAGCTTCTAGCGCCAGATACCACCTAGAAAGGACAGAGGGGCGCCGCCTCAGCTCCTGCAATGTGCCAGGTGGAGTTTGAGATGGCCTGTGCTGCTATCAAGCAGTTGAAGGGACCTGTGAGTGATCAAGAGAAACTGTTGGTGTACAGCTTCTACAAACAGGCCACCCAGGGCGACTGCAACATCCCTGCCCCGCCCGCCACAGACGTGCAAGCCAAGGCCAAGTGGGAGGCATGGAACGAGAACAAAGGGATGTCCAAGATGGACGCCATGAGGATCTATGTTGCAAAAGTGGAAGAGCTGAAGAAAAACGATACTGGTTAAGGAGGACAGAGTGTCAGTCAGAATGAAGTAGCACGGCGCCTCTGCTAGGGAAAAGGGCTTCTTAAAAGACCTTGATGGCTGAAATGTCCTGAAACCATAACAACCATAGCTGAGACATCAATAAATCACTTAAACTGCATGGGAGTGATTGTCTGCTGTTGGAAAAGTGATAAACTCAAAGTCATGTTACAGCACAAAGGGCACGATGCTCACTGCAAGACAAAAGCCAATCATCAAGAGGCAAGATGGTGGAAAAGAAAGGGCAGTTTATCACATCTTGCTAGCAAGGGGGAAGATGGCTGACTAATGTCTCAAAGAACCATCTTAAGGGGGCACAAAATCTTACAGCAGTTATATAGGCCTGTGGGGTATAGGGGAGGGGGTTAGGAATGTCAACCCTCGGGTGTTACAGACTGGGAGTCGCCACACCAGATCTTTCAGTTTCATTGATGATGGCTATCAGCATAGACTCTCTGTAAGGGGGTCATCACATTCCTAAGGAACTCAAAAGAACAAAGTTATCATCTCATCACAGCTGGGAGGTACATGCACAAGCAGGAGTCGTAAAATCTACAGAGCGGTTACATCTCCTGGAGGGTGCATATCCAGTTGGGCTAGTCAGAGGTCATTAAAAGTTACAAGAGGGTTTCTTTTCTACAACATGGCTTCCCTTATGTCAACCTTGTCTTGAGCTGGTATCGGTGACTGTGAGAGTCCTAGGTAGGTGTCCACAATACATAAAAAGCATCTCTCCTCTGGGAAAAGTTCCATCAAAACTGGCTTTGTGTATGATTCTGAGTAAAGAGTTCCCAGTCTTTCTATTCCCAGAGCATATGTAGATATCTGGCAGGAGTAGAGGACTGGGGGGAGAATCATGCTATAAAAATGCCCAAGATTTGAGGTCAGTGAGCCATTCTCCAGAGGCTCAGCCTCTGCGGGAGGGGAAGGGAGGCGAGGAGGCCGAGGCCCCTAATCTCTTCAGGGGTTATGGATTCACTACTAACCCACCGTTACAGAGGGGAAAGGAGCTTTGTCTTCCAAAAAGCTGAAGTCAAGTTCTACTACCAAAAGCCCCTACTAGAATACAGTCCTGATGAAGTTAATGGTTTTTTTTTGTGAGGGAGATCAGCCCTGAGCTAACATCCATGCTAATCCTCCTCTTTTTGCTGAGGAAGACCAGCCCTGAGCTAACATCTATTGCCAATCCTCCTCCTTTTTTGCTTCCCCAAAGCCCCGGTAGATAGTTGTATGTCACAGTTGCACATCCTTCTAGTTGCTGTATGTGGGACGCGGCCTCAGCACGGCCGGAGAAGCGGTGCATTGGTGCGCGCCCAGGATCCGAACCCGGGCCGCCAGTAGCGGAGCGCGCGCAGCTAACCGCTAAGCCACAGGGCCGGCCCTAAGTTACTGTTTTGAGGGAAGTCAAACTTTAAGTGAAGTAACTGATGCACCACAACACAGAAGCTGAGAAAGACTGGAGCAGATGGTTTCAAAATCCCAGCCTCTGAAAGACTCGTCTAAGGCCACGTAGACAAAAGTTTCTTGGGACTACCCTGTAGCTAGTAGTTTCTGCTTGGGGATATTTGTGGAGACAACACGTATATATATATGTATATGGGTTTTGTTTTATGAGCACAACACACCCCATGACCTATGCAAGGGCCAAAGTACCTGAGCTCAGCTTCCACTCCTTATCATGGAGGCATCAATGCACAGTGGTGCACTGGGATATGGAGTACTAAATGGTATTCAAGACATTTCAGGGAAAAACGTCTGCCATGGCATAGAATTTCCTAATACTTTTCCTCAACTAAAAACTATTTTCAGGGCCAGCCCAGGGGCACAGTAGCTAAGTTAATGTGTTCCACTTCGGTGGCCTGGGGTTCATGGGTTCGGATCCCGGGCATGGACCAACACATCGCTCATCAAGCCACGCTATGGCAGCATCTCACATACAAAAAATAGAGGAAGACTGGCACAGATGTTAGCTCAGGGACAATCTTCCTTAAGCAAAAAGAGGAAGATTGGCAATGGATGTTAGCTCAGCGCCAATCTTCCTCATAAAAAAAAAAAAAAACTATTTTCATAGCTATCAGGGCAGCTCCAGTTCATGAAAAACCATTAAACAATAGAAGCAAAAACCATAAAGACTTCGGAGGACAAAGAAACCAAATCTCACCAGATCTCTTCAGATCTTCTGTTCACACATTTGCAGGAAGCTGCCATAAACTAAGTACATTACTTAAGAATGAAGTATACCCAGGACACCAGTGACTAAAAAAATATTCCTTATAACTATAAACTGGGCATGAGCCACACTGTACAATAATTGTGCTGTTCTCTTTTCTTTGGAGGATGTTATGAACACATTTTGATGCTTTTAGGACCATAATTAATATTAAATGTGAATTAATAGTAAAAATAATAATGGAACATCTTGCTCCAAAATATGGTGTCAATTTAGGAGCTGTAGGTATAGCCACATCATTCTGTAAATCATTATAAAACCTGATAAAGTGGACCATAATTAGGACTGCAGAAAGCAACTGTAAGATATATTTAAAAAGAAAAAAGCAAGGTATAGTTTACACAGTGTGCTAAATTTGGTGGGAAAAAGGGAGAAAATAAGAATACATATATTTGTATGCTTAGTAAGTAGGAGCCAGTGGGATTGATGGGGATGGGTAGAAGCAAGACTTTTCAATGTATACCTTTTTATGCTGTTTTGATTTTTGAACCATAGACTCTACTACCTTAGAAAGAGGTCTGAGGCAAGGGCACTTCTTTATTGATCGTTAAGGCCAAAGTAAATTCTCTATAGATTTCCAAGGGTAAAGGTAATAAATCTTAGACCAAATTGAAACTTCCCATTAACTCTCATCATAAATTTCCATGGAGACAAGTTGGAGACCTCCAGAAAACTCTGCTAAACCACAATGGCACTGTGGGACAAGTGAGATGGGCAGAAAGTCAGGAGCACTGAATATCCATGGCTTTGCTAATTCTACCAAGACGTCAGGCAAACATGGATTTCATACTAACTCTCCAGGCTAACCAAGGAGAACTCTTGCAACACAGCCATCCTAAATCTCTCTGGATTTAAATCCAAGGGATATTTGAACTCAGTATGTTACGACTCCACAACCCCTCAAGTCAAAAAACAAAATGACTACTCCAAAAACATGACTCTGGAGAAACATGAACTTTCCAACTTCATCTGTTTAAAAACACCAGCTTGGGCAAAACCATCTTTCTTATAACCTTGTTTTCTAGTTGATCATATCATCCCCAGAGGTGGGAAAGTAAAAATTACTAGCTGCACTGTGAAGAGTGCAGAGGTAAATTTTTGGATTATCAAAAATGCCAAATTTGTCCACTAAATGGTTTTAGGATGAATAAAATATTAAAGATTGCAATAAAGGAAAAATGACAGGCAGTGAGATAAATACAAGAGGGCTGATATCATAAAGCCAGAATGTCCCAGGTAGATAAACAGCATTAACTTCTATCATGCACAGCTGCACATTTAAGAGAAAAAAATTTTGGTATGTTCAAATATAAGATAAGCAGATAAAGACGAATCTAGTATGTGTTTATAGTCATTCAGTACTTACACAGACCACTTATTTTACTATAACAAACTTAGAAGACCACATCACAGCAGCCTAATACACTGGGGAAAATATAGTTTATTTTCATGAGAACAGTATTATTAGAGATAAACATCAAGAATTACTTAATAATCTAACAGAAAATCTGATAATTAACAAATCATAGTCTACAGAGACACAGTTTATTTGATTATTCAAAATTCATATAATAATTTCCCCATGTATAGGAAAAAAGTGAACCAATTGCCTAGACGAAGAACATGTATAACCTGGTTTGCTTTGAAACCCATGATTGCTTTCCTAAGATAGAGAATTTAAGTTGCAAGAAAAGTGTTGCAGAGCTGGAAAAGGATTTTTTTT